AATTAGCTGGAGAGTCCTCGAGCATCTGAGCTAAGAGCTGGGTGCTGCCAGACTGAACTGACAAGCAGTCACTGCTGAGCAGCTCAGGAGTAACTGACTGACTCTTTCCTTCAGAGGAAATGCCTATAACGGAGCGACGTGAATAAGAGATTTCTTCACTGTAAAACCATCTGATCAAAAATCTGTCATGCATCAGGACTTCTACTTCACCTTAGTATCACATGCATCAATCCTCTGTAAAACCACTGATACAGCTCTTACACCACCACGTTACTGTGAGGCAGAATCAAAGAGCTGGGAGAGATCAAGATGAGAAGAGCTGCACGGTTCACACTCCTCAAATATCAACACATAATGACAGTATATGCATTACTGTATTTCTTTAAGAATATAAATATATAATGAGGATTTCCACTGAGAGGCCACATTTTTCTTTATTTAGGAAACAAGTAAGTTGAATTCTGCTGGAATCTCTCCATACAATGGATGCTCCAGGAGTTGACAGTGCACAGATTTCTTGGAAGAGCCATATTCAGAGCAAATTAACACTGCCTTAAAAGCCATTTTTGAGACAGCTCTCTCACAGACACAAGGTATTGGCTGTGAAACAGAACATCAGATATGAGGCATCGCGTGACATCAGGTAGCACATTTCTGTTTATTTGCCTTTCTTCAAGAATTCTACTTCACCATTAGGCAAAGGAGTACTTACAAGATGTACAAGAAAAAGATTAAGAGAGACTTCTTTATCACTGTGTTCTGTGGCACGAAGGCCCACAGCCTCTGGGTTTTTTTGTTTTTTTAAAAGGACATGTTTTCACTCTGGCTGAGGTGTTACAGTTCAGAGAACAACCTGCTGTCTAGAGAAAATCTCTTGAGAAAATTAAAAGGGAACACAGGTATCTGCTAGGCTGTTTTACTGAACGAACACTGCCAGCTGCACTAATAGCATTTTACCAGACACTTGTCAGCCTGTGAACCCCTAAGTTTATAAAGACAATAGGAAATCTGACTGCAGAGTGACGGGGACAGGGGGAAGTGGTTGGAGTTTCTTCTCCCTAGCAGCAGATCCCTGTCTGCTGTAGACTTGTGTTTGTGTACTTCAGTACAGCTGTGATGACCTACAACAGAGGTTGCCCAAGACATATATAGCTTGCCCATAGTCTGACTCAATGCATTAGTAACTTTTGTATTTAATATTAAAACCCAAGGTTTGTCTCCCAATGTCCTTCATATGATGCTCTGTCTGTTCACGTCCACGTTGTATGCTGATGAATTGGAACAGCCTCGGCCAAAATCAATAAAAATGCCTTCAGAATCAGAGTCGATCGACTCCAAAATCTGATCCACTATGTTCTCAGGGCTGGAAGAGGGAACTGGAATCAAGGAAGGGTCCCTGTCCAGCTCAAAAGACCTATGTGGGTCGTCCATTGAGTGGAAGAGTCCTTTCTGTTGCTCAACTGTGCTGAGTTTGCTAGAGCACTGCACTGACCCAGTGCTGTGCCTCTCCTGATCGCCTGAGAGTGAGCTTTTTGTGGCTGTCATGGAGCTCTTGGAACCATTGTCCATGATGGTGGTGAGGTTGGAGTACCCCTGTAGCTCCAGGCAGGAAGTCATTTCCGAAACAGAGTGCCTTCGGATGCCTGTTCCATTGGCAGCCATGCCCTCGGCTTCATACTCGGCCACTGGTGTCAGCAGTGGATTGTTGTAGCTTTTCGATCGCACCACGGGGTTCTTGGCAAGGATGTCACCTGATTTTGAACGCCTGAAGAACCGCTTCTCTGTAAATAGAGAAAGATTCAGGGTAGTATCTACAAAGGCTTCTATTTTTGTGGTACTAATAATTGTAAGTGTTCAAAAGAAAAGGCAAGGCCTGAATATTAATGAGCTTTTCTTGAACAACAATAACTTTTTTAAAAGAATATATTTTGCTGGTTTTATAGATCCCTAGGATTCAGATTTCCTAGATTTCTTTAGCATACTGAAGACCCCAAACATATCTTTACAAATAATAGCTGACGTTCCCTTATATTCATGTAACTTCAGCAGGTGGAGTAAAACAGTAAATCCTGTGGGAGACCTGATATACAATTGCAAATGCTTTCTTTAGACAAGAACAGAAAGCGCAATGCTGTCATTGTTCAGGCTATAAAGGTGATCACTAATTTCTAGTAGTTGAAATCATAACTTTTCCACCCACCCTTGGAAAATCAGGTCTCTTCAAATCTGGGGCACGAGGATTAAGACACGCAGCCTTACTAATAATTCTGGAAAAACTTAGATGCGAAGCATCATTCAGTGACCACACAAGGAGAGAGCACCAAGAGTGTTTGGAAACGTTAACTGGTGGGCAGTGCCCACAGCAACCTTTTTGGGCAACAAACCTGCACTCGATCTGGCAGTGATTGTATGAATGCTGCTGTTAACCCAGTGGGCTCTTTCCAAAGGATGAACAGCAGGTGGCAGCACGTCAGCACAGAGATCCACCAACAGTGGTTTAGGGCTGGAGTGCTCTCTGCCAGCTAGACCAAAATGATCATCATGAAAACTTTTTGCAGACTTCACTGTTCAGACTCACTTGTGCCAAAAAAAAAAAAAAAAAAAAGAAAAAAAGAAAAAAAAAAAGCGGTGCGAATAGCAGGTCTCACTTTTGAATCTTTATGCCTGCTACTCTCACTTCATGATCCCCATGAAAGGGGCATAGCTGGAGAAGGGAACCGAGTTACACTCTGAAAGTCAACCACAGCCACTGCACATAAATTGTTGGCTTTAAATTAGGATACTGGTATATGTTCCCCTCCAAACCATGCAATTTCCTTTACAAATACCAGTCTCTTCTAAAATTATACTTATGTATAATTATGTGCTTACCTGGACACAAATTCCAATCATACACTGTACTACTAAAAAAGCCAGTTTCTGTACTTAAGACTGTATTTTGCAGTTGTTTCTGCCACAGCAGTGAAATCAACTGAACCGAGTTCACTTTTGGACTTTTTCTTTGTTATGAGTTTGACCTGGCAAACAGAAAAGATTCCCTGTGGCTGCCCTGCCACAGGAACTCTGGCTTTTTGGTCATACCAAGGCTTGGCTAGAGGGGAAGGCTGGGTGTGCTGGCCAGTCAGTTTGGGGCTCCATTTAAATGATTGTGGTCTTTTAATGGGAAACAACGAATACAAAGTAGTAATCCTGGACCATTTTCTATAAATAACCAGCCTCCGCTTACTCACATAAAACCGGTTTGTTTCTTAAACGCCTACTGCAATAAAACCATTTTTCCATTTAGCTTTTGGGAAAAATCAACTACCTTATTGACCATTTCTGACAAGCAAACAGATTAAATTGACTGCATACAAAACACACAATTGAACTTTTTTCCCCTTCTATTTTCTCTATTGAAGCAGGCCATCACAGTATTTACATTAAAATACTCAGGTACTACCACATTTCCTTTTTGATTTACGCTGGTAGTATCCCCCTTGCATTTTCAACAGAATGAATTATTACGTGGGATATTCAAAAGACCTTCGTATTGGCCAAATCCTGCCTTCACAGAAGTCACTGAATGTGTCAGAAGTCAAAGAATCATAGAAAGTAAGATGGAAGGGATTCAAGGTCACTCACTCAGCCTTTGTCACCAGACATTTACCCACCTTGCTCCTTTTAGATGCCTATGTATGTGACACATATAGAGCGCCTCTAGCAGTGAAGATTTAACAGCTTCCAGAGGCACTTTATGTACCATTAGAGATTTTTCCTTCCACGTAATCTGAATTTCCCCTGCTATGGGTGGTCTACTCTTTTTCTTATCTCCAGTGGAATGGAGAACAGCTCATTACCTTCCAGTCCACGGAAAGCTTTTACGTGTTTGAAGGCTTATCGCTTAGTCTTCTCTAAGACAAATTCCTACTGTCTTCCCTGCTTTAAATAGACTTGTATGATCTTCGTGCACTAACGAACAGACACTACGCAGCACTCTAGAAATGGCTTCTTGCTTGTTCCTCTCATTGTCCATAAAGCACCCTGTGTTAAAGCTCTCTCTCTTGAAAGGTAGAATGGGAATGCTAAACACACTCTAGATGCGCAGATTTGTTGGTGAGCACTATTATGATCTGTTTCCATCTTCTGCCACTAGCAAGTTTCACTGTGACTTTGCCCATTGCAAAGAGCATGTCCCTAGAAAGGAGCCTGACTGCATTGCATCAATACTGGCAGTCTCCTCTTATGTGGGCCCTGGCCCTGTGTGGACCAAAGTTTTGGTGAAGCCCGCTGTGCCGTGTCAAATCCAGTCTGTTATTCTTACCCAAGATACAGGAAGAGTGTGTGAAGGGTCCATCACTGGAATACAGACCGTATGTGCCCAAGTAAGGAGAAACGACTTTCTGGATCAGGGATTCCAGTTTCAAATAATCTTCAGTCACGCCTTTCGACTCGTGAACCCCCTGAAAGAGAGAAAATACCCAAGATGAACACTGTCCCCTCCAACCACAAGCTTTCCTTGCTCACCAGGGCAAGCAAAGAGGCAGCAAGCATTTTCACTAAGTTATATAGCAAAGGTACACTGTGATGCGATACTGGTTTGTTACTACAGCTGATTCCTCTTACCATAAAGCCAAGAGATGTGAGTCGAACCAGAGAGACTCACTATGCAGGCACTGCACAAATGCTCAGAAAGAGGCAGTAGCTACTTCCAGGACTTTTAAATCCAGAAAGGGACATCCTGCTTAGTGCAAAGGCAGTCAGGGAGGATGGAGGACGTAGTCTGTCGAGATAAATTAATAACAACCCTGCACTTTTTGTTACTGCAATCTTATACTGGCTTCCTGAATAAACTACTGCCAAGTGCTGCACCAGCAGCTGGTACCACAGGGTGTCACTGCCATCTAAGCGATACCAACAGGGTTAAGAAATAGGTTAAACTAAGACTCAGAAATATTTCTTCCAGGATATTTTGAACAAGAAATATTTACAGTGAAGAGGTTTGTATCTCTTCCTCACCCCCTCCAAGGCACTTGCCATTTTCCAGGCAAAAGTCGCATTATAACTAGCATGGTAAGATTCACCCACAGGCAAAATCTTTTGCCAATAGCTGTTAACTCTGCATTTCCACCCGTGAATGGCCTTATAAGGCTGCAGAGGTGACAGGAAAACCCTGTGGATGTGTAGTCGCCTCTCCACTTACAGCTGCAGCATGCGTGCTCCTGTGTTGTCTGAGCAGAGCCCTGTATATGTATGTGTAGCATTCCTCTTGCAACTCGAAGTAAATTCACATTTTAGCGTGTTGCTATATGGCCATATGTTTGACATATCTTATTGCAGAATTAAGATGCTAAATGTCATACTCAGCAAGTTTGCTTGAATTTAGCAGAATTCCAGATTTCGTAATATGACCCTGAACTACTGTAAAAAGAAACATTCTGGGACGAAGGCCTCCGGAGAGCAACACGCAGATCAAATGAGTAAAATTGCAACACTTCCTTCAGCATGTGAAAGGATCCTGACATTCAGGATGTACTCGCTGCTCAGTATGATTCACCAACCACTGTCTACAGGGTGACTATCAGCTTGCGACTTGTTTGTGAATGGCTTACTTCACCTCTTGGCTGCTGCGCTGCCTGAATGCTGCCTGGCGTTACTTGATAAAAGTTTATGAATGGAAAATGAATAGTGGCCAACAGAGAATGGATAGATTTTGGATTCCAGTTCAGCGGGTTTTATATAATGAATAAACAATCTTTGGAGATGTGCTGTGTCCCGTAAAACTTTGGGGGAGTCACAAATACAAATATGAACATAAGGGCATAGGCAGTGAATCTGAAAGCTTGCAAACACCAAAGTAACAGCAGAATGAGCCCATAGCTATTCAACCAATTTAAACCAGACAAAAATAACATAGGAATAATTCAGGAGACTTACTGAAGGTGCATGTGTTATTTCCAAGTCATCATTGGCCTAAATCAGAGAAAACGTTTCAAATATCAAGAGGAAGGGTCTCAATTTTTATCATGTTGAGATCTGCTCCAGGGTCTTCCACAGAATTCACAGATTGGTTAGGGTTGGAAGGGACCTTTGGAGATCATCTAGTCCAACCAAGACAGTTCCCTCCTGTCTTGCTGGGATTTAGCCAAGATCTTTTCAGCCCTCAGAAGGGCAACATGCCTGCTACTTTACTACATATTCACAATTGCCAAGGCCAGTGCGTTAAGCCATGTGCTCCAGGCTCCCATACCAATTACCTCCAGAACTGGTCTCCTAAACATATATATATAATACTAGTAGCAAAAGCCATTGCTTAGCATTGCTCATGCCCAGACTTTGTGGTAAGGCTTTATTTACTTTTCTGCCATTTAAGTATTTTTGATACTTATGAAAGAGGGCAGCTAAATATCAACCGTGGAGAATGAAACCCACTAATTCACTAGTACCATGCTGCTCACCAAATAACTCTTACCACTAGCAGAACTGTGACACTGTACAAAGTGATACAAGTGTCCTTGTCCAGTGGCATCTTACCACTGTCTGATTTCCTTTTGGCCCTACATGCCTGCAAAGTTCTTTTGGTTTCCCTCTTGGTTAGGAATTATCTGTTCTGCTATACAATCCTTCTTCCCTGATGAACACCTCAAAAGTCTCAGCTGGATTCTGCATTGACTGCTGCTCTGGCGGGGATACAAGGAGGCTGCCAGCAGCTCTGTTGGGTTAAGGTAGGCTTCTGGGGTGAGCTGAGGGGATGGAGACTTGACCCCCAAGCTCCAACCCCTCCATCACAGGGCTGGGGAGCAGCAGTTGCGCTGGGGCACAGATTTGCCTCATCCCCACCACCGCTGCCCTGCAGCTGCTGTGCCTGGAGAGCCCGTTGGCTCACTACTCCCAAGAAACACCCTCTTCTCTCAAAATCCCAACTTCCTAACTACTTGCATCACCACCTTCTTCAGTCTTGCCCTCAGCCTTCGCTCCTGCTCTCCCAAGAGCTAATTTCCAACCCTGTTTTCACTTCAGCCTCTATTAGTTCCCACCTTTGAAGTGAAGAGGCCACAAAATACCACCTTTACAGTGTAAAACCACCCAGTATTAACACAGCCTGCTGTTAGTCTTATTCCTTAGCTCTGCTATCATCCACGGGATGCTTTGCAAAACATACTGAAAAGTCATAAAACACCTGGCATCTGCTGGAGCCATGGTGGTATCCACCTGCAACATCCTTCCTGCATTGGTCATTGTTCCAGGCCTTCCTGCAGGTGCTGGACGGGGCAGTTCCCTTAAACCATTTTATTGGCGTGGAGCTTCTGTGCAAGCAGGAGCGTAACAGGCTGCAGACTATGTCCTGAACTTGTAAAAGAGTGTTTTTCCTGTATTTCTTTCTGCCGTGTTATTCAATGACAAACATCCTCCGGACCTTTATTTAATCAAATACAAGTACATCCCAATATTCAGCAAGGACTATCTCAGCTTTCCAAACCTAAACTTTCCATATGACCTTAAGGACACCATCACTTCTTTACAACTTAACCCCAGCCTGAGTGGCCCAGAGGAGTGTCTATAGGCTCAGAGCAAGCTGGGGCCATCTCCACCTGGCCACAGCCCCTGCCCAGGGGCAGAGCGGCACCACGTTGCAATCACTGCATGCCACTCACAAAACTGAATGTCCCCTGACTTAGAGGCAGCTGGTCCTTGCTGCAGCTGTGTTGACCTGACATGGCTGGGGAGCGTCCTGACCCCGGGGTCAGGCTGTAAGCTGTCAAAGGTTGGGTCACGGGGTGTAAGGCAGTCCCTGCTCCTCTTCGTGAGCTTTTAAGATCATGGTGCAGGAAGGAGGCAGCTGCAGGTTCATACATCAGCTCACAGCAGGTTAGCTGAGATATATGAAGGGTAGTAATAGGGGCAGGGGTGCCCCACAACCCTATCGAGAAAGTGGGACTTTCCAATTCTGCAATTCTTCCAATTTCCCTTCTTTATCTGGTGCTGGTGCTGCAGTTGGTACAGCTCATGGGCAGCCAGAGGGGGGGTTGCTGTGGCAACTGCACCTCTGAGCCAGCCAGGAGCAGGATGCGGGGAACATCGAGCCCACAGCCACAGGAGCTGCAGCAGCTGGCAGACCCCGTGGCCCTGGGGGGGGCTACAGAGCCCTAGCTCTTACTGCCTCACCGATATTAGTATCCAGCATAGCTGGGTTACAGAAGGGTGAAATGATGACTGACCTGCCAATTCGTCAGAGGGCACTGTAATCTGGCACCGTATGGGGCTGAGGATGGCAAGGAGCTTCAAGGGGAAGGATGGACACCTTCTAAAGCAGATCAGTTTTAGCAGGCTGGGGAAGCTTCTGTTTTGCTTTAGCTGCCAGCCCCAAGGGTACATTTAAACTCTTCTCTCCACCAGAGGTTTCCGTCCCATCCATTGTGCCACGTGCAAAATCACCTGTTCGTGCAACACCACGTGCAGTGGGAAGGCACTTCTGGTGGAAGTTTAGGATGGAGCAAAGTATGGTTATAAACGCTTCATATATCTGTATGTAAATATAGGTAGATACATACACATGTATAGACATCTATACATCTATCTACATGCATGTATATACTTATGTATATATAGATATACTCATATATATACATATATACTTAAAGATATATGTCCTTAAGATGTAAGTCCTTTTTAGACCCTTTCTGAAATTTGTAAATGATTGTGCTTATAAAGGCAAAATTGGCTTTAGAGTAAAGCCAACTTGGGATTGTTACCAATGTCACAATAGTTTCTGAGTAACTTATGGCAGGACTTAAAAATCACCAATAAAATAACAACAAAAAAAAAAGTATTTTCCTGTTATTTTGGCAGCTCGTGGTTCTTCTTGTACTTACTGCTTGATGCTTTACTAGTTTGATATGTCAGTATATAGCAATAAAGCAAAAGTCCTATCCAGCAGGCTGGCTGCTTAGCTTGCAGGAAACTATATTGTAATTTGGAGAGAAAAGAAAACTTGGAGCATTATCAGTAAAACAGAGACTCTACCCTTATCTTTAATGCAATATTGTCTCTGTAGACATGCAAAAACTTACTTTAAAAGATAACTGTGACCTTTCATGAACCCAATTTCATTTTAGCAGGAGAGCTTCATGCCTCTCTGCAAGTGTGAGATGTATCTATTAAATTCCTTTCAAAGGCCTTGCCTGACCTATTTATTTCTCGATTGAGGGCCAAAATAGCTCTGTATCAAATAGCTGCAAGTATCTTAGTACTTCTGGAAAAGTGTAGCTGCTGGATCAAATCCTCACCTTGGTCACACTGTTTTGAAATGCAACAAGAGTCACCTCATTATCTTTGGAAGGATTAAAATGTAATATTATGACAACAACTTGCCCTACTCTTAAGCAATGGGTAATGGGGATTTGAGTCCTCAATATGTGAATACTATTGCAAATGGAAAAGATCTATACTCAGCATCAAGAAC